CCTTAGAATGACAACTCACCATCATAACAGATGAAGGGTTTTCTCTTGTTGCAGTTCTCATTCCTCCATCTGCCTCCATCATCAAACACAGTCATGGCACATTGACCACTGTTGAATCTCTGATTGTTAAACTGTAGATTCCAGTGTCTGAAAGAGAAACTGCTTCCATCTGACCACATCCAGGTGTCTCTGAACAGGCCAATAAATATGTACTCTGAATTTGCAGTCGCTAAATTTAACCCCTTGTTCACTTCTCCATCCTGTAGCTGCTCCAATCCACTGATCAGGTCTGTGTGTTTCTCTCTGCAGTAACTCTGAGCTTCTGTCCAGTTCTTTGAATCATAAATCAAGTCGTATCTCTGTGATGAATCATTTTCTGTGAAATAAAGAAATCAGAGCTCAAAACACTTTAATAAGTAAGTCATAATATAAACATTAATAAGAGGATCTAGATCAAAATAAAGGACTATTTTCTCACCACTATAGCAGATAAAATTATGCTTTTCATTACAGGATAAATCTCCCCACTTGAGAAAATGAGGGGAATCTTTNTGATCAGGTCTGTGTGATTCTCTCTGCAGTAACTCTGAGCTTCCATCCAGTTCTTTGATTCATAAATCAAGTGGTATTTCTGTGATGAATTGTTTTCTGTGAAATAAAAAAGTCAGAGCTCAAAACACTTTCATATGAAAGTCTTGAAATAAACATTATTGTGAGGATCTAGATTAAAACAAATGAGTATTTTCTCACCATTATAACATAGAAAGTTATGCTTTTCATTACAGGATATATCTCCCCATTTAAGAAAAAGAGAGCTATCTTTCCATGTAATCGCACAACTGTGGTCTCCATTTGGTTCATTTGTAATTTTTTCCCAGTTTGTCTCACTTTCATTGAACTCCACTCCAGGCAGAGACCAGTGCCATGATCTCTGTGTGTTTGTTTGATCATACAGACCAATCCAAGCTTCCCTCTGATCTCCAGCTGAGATGTTGATGAGTCTCTTCATGTCCTTCATGTTAGTCACTGTGACCAGGTCAGTGTGTTTCTCTCTGCAGTACTGCTGAGCTTCAGTCCAGTTCTTATTCTGTTTAATGTAGTGAAACTCATAGAGCTGACAGTCCATCAGATGATTCTGAACTAAAAACAAAAAAACAAAACAGTTTTAAATCACATTACACCAGAATAAATTTTTTCTTGTGTTCTCATCCAATGATTTTATGAGGGCTTTGACAAAATCTCCATATTTATTCAGATCAACTTACCCATCACAGTAAGAAAGAACAAGTACCACTGCATGATTACTGTAGTTTGTGTAGAGATCAACACTAGAGGAAAAGTCAACATCAAACAATGAATATAATTTATAGAAATCCCATCCCAATAATCTACATGTATATACTGTCATGAAAGACAAACTTACATTTGATTACGTCCTTTCACATAGATTCAAAATGATCCAACAGCTCGATGTTTGTTTGTAGACCGTCCTCAGGGAAATGCTCAGTCCCTGACACTGAGCTCTTGTTTTAGCACATAAACTATTTGAATATTCAAACTTTCAAAAAAAAAAAAAAAAACCTATGCTGATTATTTGCGTCATGGAATCCAAAACAAGTGTAATGTCAGGTTTCATTACAAATTTTTGAAGTGTTTTTGTTTTCTTTCTTTTCCAGTTTAGATCAGAAACATATGGCCTGCTGTGTTCTGCAAGATCAGAATATTTTTTTGTCATTTATTTATAGTTCAGTTTTGTTTTTTGTTTTTTTTTAAACTGCTTCATTGTCATTTGGCCCAACTTAATTTGTTTCAGCTTAATATTTCAGTTATCTTGATTTAATGCTGTAAAACATTTTTGGAGGAAACACAGAATTTTAAAAATATGGTCAATTCTGATTGTTTTATCAAATTATTCTGGGATAAAAAAACTGAAGTATTTTGTTGATTCTTTTAGGTTTCGCCACACCAAAAAGAAGGAAAAGTTGTGTCAGATAAAAATGTTGCACATTAATTTTTTTTTTCACTGCTTTGTGGACATGAATGCTACTAAACAAGATCAATAAAATTACCACAAAGCATAGCTGCAGATTGTAGGGCATTTTAAAACTTAAAAATAGCATGATTGAACCTCTTTCTGAGAATATTTTCTTCAGTGACATAAAGAACATTTTATTTATGTTAATGTCATACAACATGTCTCACCACTGAAGACATTTTGATATCACTTTGCAGTTGTGTTTTTTTTTGTTTGTTTGTTTTATCATCAAATTCCTGTTTTTTAACCAGTCCAGTTCCAGCCATAAAACAAACTCATCTAAACCCAAAGGTGTCACAAAGTAACACTCAGCCTCAGTTTACATCCTGCTTGCTTACATTGTGGAATTACATCGGGTTAAAAAGATTTGGTAAGAAATAACCAATTTCTCGTTTTTCAGTCCAACATGGAAAAATGAGTTTCAAGCAAATCAGCAGTTTTAGGTTAACATTTGAATAAATGGTGTCTAAATTCAATATGCCTGATATTGAGAAGTTTTATTAGAACACAATAAAATCAAAAATATGTATCCCCTCATTGTCTACCGTACACAAAATATTCAAAGTAAATTTTGCGAAACTAAACACCCTGTGATGAACTTGATACGGCAACACTCTTTGACCAATAATGAACACAAAGAACTGAGTATGGCAAAACAGGTCTGAACATAAATAAGCAAAAAAAAAGATCTAAACACAAAAGAAAACCAAAACCCAACAAGCCTGAAAGGACTGTGTTATTACCACTAGATGTCTTACAATACTAAATAATTAGTAGTATTAGTTTTTAAAGTTTTATCATTTCAAAAAAGCTCAGATATTATAACGACACAAAAAAGCCACACATGATATGTGGAATAAATGTGAAGGAGAAGTGCACACTCATATCACTTGTGTCTGGTAATGGATTGAACACCAATGAAAATATGACAAGTGGTAAAACAATGTATTTAAAGAATTTACGGGTTAAAGAACCCTTCCCTCCACAGTTATTATCTTTTTATCTTACAATAAACTGAAGATTAAATAGGACCAACAAACACTTGTAGATTTAAGTATATTATTGCCAAAAAGGAGTAATGGCCAATTTGTGAAAAAGAAAATTAGAAAACCAAAGATAAGCAGC